TCTCTGTCTCTTTCCCTGTCTCGATCCGAGGGTGGGGGTCGGCCATAAGGATCAGGGTAAACTGTGGGGGGTGGTCTACCATATGGATCTGCAGCATTCGGTATAGGGGGAGGCTGAAATATCAAATCAATTCATTATTTAACATAAACACTAGCAAAAGCTTGTTGCCGACAAAATAAAAAATACAGATTAATATGATAACAGACGGTGAAAGGGGACTAACTGTGCAGTGTGCAATAGAGGGAACAGTAATACTTTATTTCAAATGAAATGAATGCAGTTTTACATGCTACTTTTCTGCACCATGTGGGCTTATGAAGACAGACAACGCCATGCAGGGTGCAATGAGGGAAATTTTGCCAGGACAACGGTATTGGCCTACTAGACTAGTTAACAAAAAGATAAATAATCTAATATTGCAAGTTATCACAATGTGCTGTTTACTGATGCAGTGTGGAATAAGGGGAAATAACTCTATTTAATCAATGCAATAAGAGGAATAAGGACAGTTAAATTTGAGTACCTTTTAATGCTCATGCAGTATGCAATAAGGCAAATTATAACACTAATATTTAACTGTCTCATGCAGTATGCAATAAGGCAAATTATAACACTAATATTTAACTGTCTCATGCAGTATGCAATAAGGCAAATTATAACACTAATATTTAACTGTCTCATGCAGTATGCAATAAGGCAAATTATAACACTAATATTTAACTGTCTCATGCAGTATGCAATAAGGCAAATTATAACACTAATATTTAACTGTCTCATGCAGTATGCAATAAGGCAAATTATAACACTAATATTTAACTGTCTCATGCAGTATGCAATAAGGCAAATTATAACACTAATATTTAACTGTCTCATGCAGTATGCAATAAGGCAAATTATAACACTAATATTTAACTGTCTCATGCAGTATGCAATAAGGCAAATTATAACACTAATATTTAACTGTCTCATGCAGTATGCAATAAGGCAAATTATAACACTAATATTTAACTGTCTCATGCAGTATGCAATAAGGCAAATTATAACACTAATATTTAACTGTCTCATGCAGTATGCAATAAGGCAAATTATAACACTAATATTTAACTGTCTCATGCAGTATGCAATAAGGCAAATTATAACACTAATATTTAACTGTCTCATGCAGTATGCAATAAGGCAAATTATAACACTAATATTTAACTGTCTCATGCAGTATGCAATAAGGCAAATTATAACACTAATATTTAACTGTCTCATGAAGAATGTATTGTGTATAATAATAATAAGTCTAGTACTTACTATGGCTCCTGGTGGAGGGGCAGAACTGTGAGGAGGGGGAAAGAAAGCTGGATTAACATGAGGAGCTGGGGGTGGTACTCCCATATGAGGGGCTGCTGATACAGGGGGAGGAAGTCCTGGTGGCATACCGGGTACAGCTCCCACTGAAAAATACAAATAAATTATAAAAAATCTTGTTTTTACTTCAAATGAAATGTTTATCTTCCTGTCTTTTTAAATCTTTTAATTTTTAAATATCTGAGATTGCCCAAATTTCCAACCTAGTTGGACTCAGAAGCTAAGATTCCATATACTTGTCACGCGGTTGCGTCACGCGGACATAAATGGTCCTTGCGGATCCGTCACGCGTCAAATATGATTCCATATGTGCTTTAAACGTATGCGTTATCTTTCTTTTGACACACGGACTTCTT